AGGGAAATAGGAGCGGCTAACCCTGATACCCTTCCAATGGCACGCTGCCTCACCGTCCACAAAAAGGGAAACCTACTGTGGGGAGAGAAATTTAGGCTAAAGTCGATCAGTCTAAAGGCATGCCCAGGTTGCATACCAACTGTTTGCCATTCGCGAATTCCATTTGAACATGTGAGTGTCCTCGTCGGAACCGAAACAGCGGAAAGGACGTCTTCAAACCAATCTCACTTGGGCGCAAAGCAACAAGTCATGCTACCTCTTGACTCTGCTTCTTCTCAACGCTCAAGTAATGGCGAAGGGGAGATGTCGCATCAGCCACATGAACTGCAGTGACCACTCCAATAAGCTCATTAGAACAGTCATGAACATGCAAAACCACGCATTCTTCCCATCCCCAACCACCCACCTTCCTCCGGCTTCTCAAACTCACATCTCGGTACGAAGAATATTTTTGTAAACGTCGAACCCTTGTTTAGTTTTCGCAATTCCTTCTGTTTCGACACGTCGTTGAGAGTGATGTTGACAGCGCCTTAATGGAAAGCAGTACATTCCGTAGCCAATGCAAAATTTGGTCTACTAAACTCAGAGTCGCCTTACACGACTATTCTGCCTTTTAGATGGCCTCTACAATGCAGTTCAATTTAAAGCACTCCAGTAATTAATGCGATCTGCGGCAATTTAATGTCTCACACTTCACCCCACCCAAAACACTCTCGCCTCTTTCCATGCGAAATGGATACTTAAGAAGGGTTGAGCGTGCAATCAAAGCTTTCCCATACCACCGCTTACCTTCACTCACAGAGCAAGGGCGTCCCCATTCTTCCACGCCAACATAACACTTGCCGTTCTTGATGTCGATCAGGTCTATCAAGAAGTTGTGGATCAACGCCTCTATCGCCTAGAGTAGAATAAAAATGCGCACAGGCGTGAGGCAGACTAATACGCGGCATCAATGACAAGCACGTGGAGGCAGCAGCAAAAATGGTGACACAAAGGAACGCGCTAATGTTTGTGGTGACAATTCGCATCTATTAATGAAAGTGCTTGCACTTACGCCAACATTGGAGAAACGCAGGTGCAAGGGTGGTGATGGTCCACTGGGTGTCTCGACAACGCAAGAACCCAACAGCAGCGGATCCGATTCTGCTTCTTAGAAATGCGCAATATTTTGAGACTTTGGCTGATGGTTCGTATAAATGGTGC